GCGCCAGGGGGCAGAAGAGGCGCTGGTCGGCGCCTCTCACTTTGCGGAGCGCGAGGAGTTGGTCTGAAGCGGGAGTCGATCCTCTTCAGTTGTGTGTAAGTGCGTATAGGTGTAGCCTGGTAGCCCGTGTCCTTGTTCTTTGAGACCGGCTGCCTCTGCCACCTGTCACACGCCCAGGCACACGTCCCGGTGCGGAGAGCCGGGGTAGCCTGCGCGGTACCTTGGAGCGGTCCGCTCCACACAGTTGTACGGGAAAGACGGTCTGAGCCAGAACCGCCCCAGGGCTCGCGAGTTGGCCCACATTTCCCAGTCTGCATTCGAGCACTGAGCCACGACCTGCGGGCTGGCCGTCCTAAGAAGGATGCTCCTGAATGGACGTCTGGAGTCCAACGGTGACACCATGAAATATATTAAGTTCACTTCTCACCTGTAGTTGTCTCACGAGGAATGCATACTTTAGCAAGTAGCTGTTACAGACTACAGTTAATTGTCTCCAGCAGGGCGCATTGGCTCAGCCTGTAGTTACAGCTGCTCGGGAGGCTGAGGCGGGAGGACCGCTTGAGCCCGGGATGTTGAGGCTACAGTGAACTGAGATCACATCGCTGTGCCCCAGCTCAGTGAGCTGAGATCACATCACTCCACTCCAGCCTGGGTGACAGACTGCGACACCGTCTTAAAAGAAAAAAGGCCAGGCGCGGTGAGGTGGCTGACGTCTGTAATCCCAGCACTTTGGGAGGCCGAGGCAGGCGGATCACCTGAGTTCGGGAGTTCCAAACCAGCTTGACCAACATGGAGCAACCCCGCCTCTACTGAAAATACAACATTAGCTAGGCGTGGTGCCGCATGCGTGTAATCCCAGCTACTCGGGAGGCTGAGGCAAGAGAATAGTTTGAACCCAGGAGGTGGAGGTTGCGGTGAGCCGAGATCGCGTCTTTGCATTACAGCCTGGGCAACAAGAGCAAAACTGTCTCTCAAAAAAAAAGAAAAAAGAAAAAAAAGTTAATCATCCCTCTCCGTGGACTAGATGAAAAGGCATGGGTTCATTCTCGCTTTTGCCTTAATTCATGTCCTAGCTATTATAGGCACTGAAGGGAGATGCAACAACTCATTTCATAATGTCAGTGGTCTGTTGTATTTTTTGTTTTGTCCTACAGCAGAAAAAAATGTTACTTCTAAAACTCAAGAGAAATACTTGATTTATTTTCTTTATTAGCTCTTAGTGCTTGGCACATTCGGATTTACATGGCCCACCAGTTGGATTGAAGACTCATGAGTCTATAATGGTAGTAGTTTCCTTTTTTTCTTTTTCTTTTTAGAGACAGGGTCACACTCTTGCCTAGGTTCAGTAGAGTGGTGCAGTCACGGCTCACTGTAGCCTCAACCTCCTGGGCTCAAATGATCCTCCTGTCTCAACCTCCCCAGTAGCTGGGACCACAGGCACGTACCACCACACCTGGCTAATTTTTGATTTTTTATTTTTGTAGAGACGGTATCACTGTGTTGCCCAGGCTTGTTCTGAACTGGGTGCAAGCGATCCTCCTGCCTTGGACTTCCAAAGTGCTAGGATTACAGGCGTGAGCCACTGTGACTGGCCTGTAAATGCTACTTAAAATCTTATGCAAAAACTCTTTAAAAGGAATTGGTATTTAAAAAAACATTCAGTCATGTTTAAATAGAAGAGATTTTCCCCCTTGGTCTCTATAAAAGTAGATATAACTTTTAAAATACAATGGCCCTTTGGTAAAATAATCTTTGACGGGTAACATATTAATACTGTTTTCAGCGGTGTATTACCACCAGTTATGTGGTAAATCCCACCAGGTATCTCCGTATTCATATTTTGCTTTAAAATCCTGTGTTAGATGTATTTTAGATTTACTGGTGAGGAGTGCAGTCCCTGGGGTCTGTAAGCCAGAGGTTTCTCATCTGTCAGTAGGGATGATAACACCAACTTGGAAGGTTTGTGTCTCTGGTGCCTTGTCTGGCTACAGAGTAGGCCCTTAAGTATTTCACCCCTTTGTTAGGCCCATGTCTGGATTCCAATCTTAGGCGCAATGGGAAGTTGAATATTTAGTAACTGAAGTACAATATGGAAAAACAGAAATAGAGAACACATTTGGTATTCGTGTCCCAAAAACTTTAGGGAGAAATTGATCACCTGACTGTTTGGTATTTAAGGTCCGAAAAACTCTGGGGAGAAATTTGTGGTATTCAAATCAGGTACCAGTTACTTGATAACTCTCTGACTTTTGATATTACCCTGGCAGGTTCAAAGGGATGACCTTGATTTTTTTTCTCTTTAGGCTGTGGAACCCTACTAATACTGGATCCAGATGAATCTGGGCTAAGGCTTTTTAGAAGGTAAGGGGGCTGAAATTATTAAAGGTATTTACTGTTGCTATTAAAGCCTTAATAGAGTTAGGTTTTGACTCTTTGGTTAATGTTTTAATATACAATATAAAAGGAACCTTGGCGTTTGCATAGGATGAAGCTTATTTTTAGCTGGTTGTGGTGGTGCACACCCATAGTCCCAGCTATTCCCAAGTCTGAGGCAGAAGGATCACTTGAGGCCAGGAGTTCAAGACCAGCCTCGTGGGCATAGGGTCCCCCACTATGTTAGGGACACCCCGTCTCTAAAAGAAATTTTTTGTGTGTGCACAGAGTCTGGCTCTGTCACCCAGGCTAGAGTACAGTGGCGCAATCTTGGCTCATTGCAATCTTTCAGCCTTCTGGGTTCAAGTGATTCTCCTGCCTCAGCCTCCCAAGTAGCTGGGATTATAGGTGCCCGCCACCATGCCCAGCTAATTTTTGTATTTTTTAGTAGAGACAGAGTTTCACCATTTTGGCCAGGCTGGTCTCGAACTCCTGACCTCTGGTGATCTGCCCGCCTTGGTCTCCCAAAGAGCTGGTGTTATATGTGTGAGCCACTGGGCCTGGCCTAAAAATTTTTTTTTAAAGATTAGCTATGCCGTGGTGGTGCACACCTGTCGTCCCAGCTACTTGGGAGGCTGAGGTGGGAGGATTGCTTGAGTCCAGTTCAGGGCTGCAGTGAGCTGTGATTGGACCACTACACTCCAGCCTGGGTGACAGAACAAGACTCTTTCTCTTAAATAAAAAACAAAACAAATCTGAAGCTTGTCTCTTAGTGTCCACTCGTAAATTATAAAACTTAAACATAAAAAAATATGGAGTAGTATATTGTGTAGCATTACATTTTTGGACTGTTACGTTCCACTGGACTGTTTTTTTAACCTTTCTGAATCTGTTGCCATATTTGTCAAGTACCTGCTCTCTTAACTCCCATAGTTGTGAAGATTACATGAGATATACGTGTTAAAATATGTGATAAATTGTAAGAAAAAAACCATAATTATAATTGTTATTTTTTGTTGTTGTTGTGTAGCTGCCTATGTAAGTGTTGTGTTTTTTTTGTTTTTTCCTAGTGTAGCTTTGACTGGAATGATGGTTTGTTTGATGTGACCTGGAGTGAGAACAATGAACATGTCCTCATCACCTGTAGTGGTGATGGCTCGCTGCAGCTCTGGGACACTGCCAAAGCTGCGGGGCCACTGCAAGTCTATAAAGAACACACTCAGGAGGTAGGAGGGGAATCGTTCTGAGCTGATTATTTTTCTTTCTTCGACTTTGGTTGAAATCCATTTGGGGATGTACACATGGAGAAGTATCTTCAGGGGACAAGTTTAAACTTTAGCATTTCGTATCCATATTAGATGTCACTTATTATTTGATTATTCAAACATAAAGTACCTTTGGCCTAAGGAGCTGGGAAAGAAAAGAAAAGGTCAGTCTTCTCATTAGGCAGAAGAAACGCCTCCAGCAGTGTACTCTGGCACCATTTCCTCCTGAGAGGCCCATCACTTTCTTTGTGCTCTAAGAATGTGCTTGCCACACGGTGCCTTAGGGTAGAGATAGGTGGACTTTTCACATAGATGTCATAAGATTGCCTTTGGGGCTTCAGTGAGATTCTCGAGGTGTTTCAGAGTATATTGGAGCAAGAGCATAAAATACTGAGTATGAGGCAGGACTTACTGAAGGGATTTTATATCTAAATCTGGTTCATGTGTCTAGATTTTGTGTGTGTATATGTATAGCATAGAAAATAGTTTGGGCTTCAGTTATACTAACATACATGTATATTTTCAGTGAACATAATAATGAAGACATCCTCTTTTAGTGTTTTTACCTTAAATGTTTTAAGATTTTCCTTAAGGTAGCAGTACATCCTTCAAATGACAACTTGCTAACCTACTTTCAAATTTTTGTCCACCACAGTGCCTGGCCCGAGAAGGCCCTCAATAAATGCTTATTAGATGCAGGAATATCAGTCTTTTGTGGTAAAGATTAGTTATGTGAGGGATCCAGATGTTTTATAGCTATAGCTATTGACAATCAAGATTTCTAAGATTGTTACTGAAATAATGAAAAATTTTAGTTTCTATTTTAATTGTGATAGCTATTTGAATAAATGTAGTTGTAAATTATCATGTTTTCAGGGAATTACTGAGTACTAAGACAATTTTGGTAAAGGAGAAGTTTTAGTTTCAGGATGATCAGTGCACGAATCTCTACAGAGCAGTATGTCCAAAATTCAGATACTTTTGTGGAACCTATGTGAATTTTGTGTGTGTGTGTTTGTGTGTGTGTATGTGTGTCAGGGCCTCACTCTGTTGCCCAGGCTAGTGCAATCTTGGCTTACTGCAACCTCCACCTTCTGCACTCAAGCCATTCTCATGTCTTAGCCACCCGAGTAGCTGGGATTACAGATGTGCACCACCATTCTCTGCTAATTTTTGTATTTTTAGTAGAGACAGATTTCACCATGTTGGCTAGGCTGGTCTTGAGCTCCTGGGCTCACGTGATCCACCTGCCTTGGCCTCCCAAAGTGCTGGGATTATAGGCGTGAGCCACCGTGCCCAGTCAATTTGTGTGTGTGTGTGTGTGTTTGTGTGTGTGTTGGGTTTTTTTTTTTTTTTGTAGAGATGGAGTTTCGCTACGTTGCCCAGGCTAGTTTTTGTGATTTTTGACATTTTTTTTTCTTTTATCATTTGTATTATAATTAATTTAATGTTTTTCTTTTCCTTCTTTCTTTTTTAAAAAATACTTTTCTTTTTAGAAGTTTTTTTTCCTTTTCTTAAATCTTTGGTGCCTTTTATTACCTATATAAATTGAAGGGTGATAACTAACATCATAAAATAATATTGCTACGTAAGTTAAATTCAGTATATTGACTTAATGTTTTTCTTTCAATCAACTAAAGTTGTTGCTTCATTTATCCTACAGCAGTAATATTCATGAAACAATGGGGTTGATGGCTACTTTAGTATGTACATTTATTTGTTTTTAATGTATATTAAGATAAATAAGTAATGAATAAAATAAGTGTATGTACCAGTTAAAATAATCTCTTGTGCAGCTACTTTCTGGGAAATACAGTTCTAGGATGTCCTGGATGGATGGTCACTCAGTCTTCATCTCAGTGAAAGTAAATTTCACTTTCTCTTGAGATAACTTATTTGATTTTTAGGTTGTTCTGATGATTAAGAAACTGCTTCTTGTAAGCCCAAATCTACCTTCTATAGCAACCAACTGCTGCTCTTAGTGCCTTTCTCTGAAGTGGTAAGACCGAGTCCAGCCCCTTTTGTCCAGGAAACCTCTTGAAAATAGCTACTGTGCTCTCTTCCAGACTGTGCACTTGTCATTTCATTGCCCTGTCCTCAGATGACATGATCTTTACATCTTTCATCCTCCTGGTAGCCTCCTTTGATAATCCTTTGAAACAGTGCCTTAGAAAGGGGCACTGTTTTTCAGTGCCCCTTTCAATATATATCTAATTTATTCCAGAAATGTGATGAAGGACTAAGCTTTATAAGATTTTACCACCATAGTCTTGAGCCCCTAGTTCTAATAATATTACCTAAAGTGGCTATACATTGTTCTCAGCCATGTCTTAGTGTTAGGTTACTTTGAGTCTACTAGTAACACACTTACCTCTTTTATTATTTGAACTACTGTTAAACCAGTTTTACATCATTCTATAATTTTGCAACTGATCTATTGAACCGAAGATACACTTCTGTTTTTTAACTTTTTAAATTTGTTTTGCATGTACTATTCTAGTTAGCCTTTGTTTTCTTTTCAAATGCAATTTTTGGTAAGCGTTTGTATCAGGATGCCTTGGATGTTAGTGTAATAGAAAACAAGTGGCTTCAACAGTCAGAGTTTACTGTTTCACATATTTTGCTTGGTTATGTGAAAAATAAATGAAGATAACCTTTTTAGGTATTTGTTACAGCAGCACCCCTAATTATTGGCACCAATTTCTGCCTCAGTCTACTCAGGCTGCTGTAACAAAGTATTATAGACTGGGTGCCTTATAAAGAACAGAAATTTATTTCTTACTGTTCTGGAGGTTGGAAGTCGAAGGTCAGGGTGCCCACATGGTTGGGTTCTGATGAGAGTCCTTTTTCAGGTCAAAGACTACTACTATCTTTTCATTGTATCTGCAGGTGATGGAAAGCGGATGAGAGAGGTTTTGGAAATCCCTTTTATAAGGGCACTAATCCCATTCATGAGGGCTCTACATTCATGACTTAATTACCCCCCAGAGGCCGTACCTCCTAATACCATTACATTGTAGGGGGTTAAGATTTCAACTTGTGAGTTTTGTGGGGACATATTCAGTCCATTGCACATGCAGAATACTCAAAAATACTTAAAAGGATTTGAGCTCAAATGAGAGTTTTAAGGAGCTTGTAAATATTTGTTGAATAAATTAATAAATGAGGCTGAGTGCGGTAGTCATGCCTGTAATCCTAATACTTTGGAAGGTCGAGGTTAGCAGATCGCTTAAGGCCAGGAGTTTGAGACCAGCCTGGCCAACATGGTGAAACCCCGCCTCTACTAAGAATACAAAAATTAGCTGGGTGTGGTAGTGCACACCTGTAGTCCCAGCTATTTGGTGACTGAGGCATGAGAATCACTTGAGCCTGGGAGGTGGTGGTTGCAGTGAGCTGAGATTGTGCCACTGTACTCCATCCTGGACAACAGAGTGAGACTCTGTCTTAAAAAAAAATTTATTAAAAAAAAGTTGATAAATGAATGAACATAGCCAATTTCTGTTTGTTTGTTTGTTTTTCCACCAGTATGTTCAGGGAAGCTATGTTGTGAAATGGAACAGCAACTAATGGCTCATTTTCTTCTATGGAAGAGATTATATAATAAAGATGTATGGCATGGTTTTAGTCAATCTGGGATTCAAATCCCAGCTTTGTAAGTTACCTGTTATGAGACCTTGCATATGTCACATGTTTTTCCTAAACTTGAGTGTTTTTATTTGCAAACTAAGTTTATTAGTAGTCTGTATCACAGGGTTGCTGTGAGTGCTTGAACTAGAACCAGCATTGAATAAATATGAGCTAGTATTATTATTTGCTCTTATTTTAATAGGGTTTGAAAAATACAAAACAAGTTAGAACTTTTCCAGTTACCCATTTTATCACTTGATGGCTGTGTGTCCAACAGTCAATGTTCAAGTTGTCAGATGAAGCAAAAAAGAGAAATCCAAGATTTAGATATATTTTAGGCTTTGAGGAATGAAGGTCTTGGTGAAATGAAAAGAAAGAAAAACATGGACATTATCTGTGTGAATGGTTGCTAAACTTAGCATCGAAGTAGGAATCAAATTGTTCTGTGTATTGTTTAACTGGTGTCTACAGAGGTCATTGTGTCTTTTGAGTCCCATAAAATGCCTTTGGCTTTGCTTATTCTAATGCTGCTGAATATATAATAAAAAATTTAAAAAATTCAGTGAGAATAGAAAAATAAGAGTGAATCGACAATTTTATTTCACTGCTTTCTGACTTAAAACACTGTGCTACTGAGAGTGAGTTAAAGTGACTTTAAAGATGACATAAATCAATGTAATATATTAATTTCTAATTTTCAAACTAATGAGTTTGCTTATCACAGTTTAAAAAAGTTAAAATTTGTTTTCATTGTCAAATAGCAAGGTTTATCAATTTGCTGAATTTTTATAATATATTTGATCCATTGAGGTTTTTGAGCATTGCTTATAAAAACTTATTTTGGACCTAAGTATGCAACTATTAGTGTTCTGTTATGGAGGAAATGTATTTGCTTATACATTTTAAGAGTTAAAATTTTGTTTATTTTAAAAAATGAATCAAATTATTTGCTTTTTGATAATGATAGAAGTTGAGAAGTCAATAATGATAGGTACTGTATTAGTCTGTTTTCACATTGTTATAAAGAAATACCTGAGAGTGGGTAATTTATAAAGGAAAGAGGTTTAATTGACTCTCAGTTCTGCATGAATGGGGAGGCCTCAGGAAAGTTAACATTATGGCAGAAGGTGAAGGGGAAACAGATGACCTTCTTCACGAGGCAGCAGGAGAGAGAGAGAGAGAGAGAGAGAAAGCAGGGGAAACTGCCACTTTTAAAACCGTCAGATCTTTTGAGAACTCCTCACTATCACAAGAACAGCGTGGGGGAAACTGCTCCCGTGATCTGATCACTTCCTACCAGGTTCCTCCCTTGACACATGGGGATTACAATTCAA